GTTGCAGATGCCACAGTTTGCCATGCAGCCTCCCTCTGCAGCAGGGAGCCACTCCACCTTGAAGTTTCTGTTTGGATGCTTTTTAAAATCCTATAATTTGGGAACTTTTCTTTTTTTTTAAAAAAAAAAAAAAAAAGAACTCCTGTGGACTGATGCTTTTGGTGCTACTGAGATTGTAAAAGTAGCATAGAAGTGCTAAATTAGAGCAGAAGGTCGGTTCTGCCAGAGCTGAGAGTTGGTGTTGGATTAGACTGAGCCTTACAAGTAAGGGGGCAGGTAGGAGATGCCCACACCAGGTCACATTTGCTTCAGACAAGTGGGGTTTCAAACCTTAGGCCTTTACCAAGGGGGGCTGACTTGGAAGTATTGTGTAATATGCTTGCAAAACACTAGCTTAAGCTACGAGCACAGCTTGCAAAGCTGTAGTTGCTGAATGACTGCGTACAGTAATCCTAACCAGTATTCCTATACAAGAAACCTATTAATTATTAACCTATTATTATCTGAACCTATTAATACGCTCAGTTATCCATATCTCACTTGTTGTTGCACTCTAAACTGGGGCAAGGTTTTAGACCTTTGGTGGTACCTTGCCGCCATCAGTGAAAAACTTCCATGTGTTCATTCTAAGAGCCAGTATACAGCCCTGTCCACAGCTTGATTTTGCAGGCTCACCTGGCAGGGCTGGGTGTTGCATGAGCACCTTTGGGTGGCATTTGTTCAGCTACGAAAGGGCAAGGTGTTGCAGGTGTTCCCAGAGATCAGTTTTAACCTGGAAAGGAGGAAGGTCTGAGGGTATCAGCAACGTCCTGTGCCAAATCACCCTCCCAGGTATCCTGCGATGAGATCCTCATGGGAGGCTTCTTTGGCCACCTGTCAATAAGGAATGAATGAAACGGAGGGAAAAAGACACTTCTAACCTGTTATTTAATCCCGCAGCTACGTGGGGAACCTGTCCAGAGATGTCACTGAAGCTCTAATCCTCCAGCTGTTCAGCCAGATCGGACCATGCAAAAACTGCAAAATGATAATGGATGTAAGGGCCTTTACCTTTATTTCCCAGATTCTGAAAAGTAACAGCTTCAAACCATAGCTGCATATTTCAGAATTCTACCATACTATGTTTTATAACATATTCATATACATACATATTTGTTATGATATTGTATTGCACAATGAGTCTTCTATATTATGCAGTTATTTAATGGATAGGTATATTATATAAAAGTGGATATTAAAGTGCTTTGAGCATAATTTCTGCATCATATCTGATATTACTTTAAAAATTTGGATATTTTAAAGGAGATTGAGCAGATTAATATCTTTGGATATTCTAAATTATACTTGAAAAGCTCTTTTTTTACCATGTGTTTGTTTATTTAAGCAACTTTTGAACCTCCTAGATCACAGGTGTGTATTTACTGTAAATTAGAGACCAGTCAAAAATACATATATCCATTTTGAAGCATTTAGATGAATATGGCACTAAATATAATAATGAGGCTGAAGTTTGAAGAGGTTTTCATTGTGTATTTTTTTCTTTTTTTTAATCAGACGGCTGGAAATGATCCATATTGTTTTGTGGAGTTCTTTGAGCATCGTCATGCAGCTGCAGCACTAGCTGCTATGAATGGCCGGAAGATAATGGGTAAGGTAAGCTGTCATGTCTACAGGGTGAGTTGCAGTGGAAAAACACATGTTATACCAGGTGGTGTGGATGAAATATCACTCAAGAAGAGATGAGAAACGTTGCAAATGTTAGACCTTTTGTTCAGTGGAGCTCTTACTGTGACAGGACTAAGGAGAAAAGCAATTTTTACTGTTGTAGGAAGAGTGCAGGGGAAGGTTGGGATGCAGAACTGGGGAGGGAGCAGAGCTAAAGGCAAAAAGGAATAATTTTAACTTTCCTGGCCCTATCAGAATAACACTCCTCTTTTCCCTATCCCTACAAGTACCAAACAAACAAAAAGCCCAGCAAACTAGCCAAAATATCCAGATGATGTATGTTTACTGTCTTTGATTTTAACAAAGAGTTGCAGAGTGTAATGTGGAGGAGTGAATCCTCTGCTGAGAAACTTCCACTCTAGCTTTCAGCCCAAACTTTCACAGCGGGTTCCCCTGTAGCATCAGAATTAGGTGCTGGTAGTGTCTGAGCTTAGTTCCCATTTGCTTGATCTAACATCAGCAACTAATATTTGCAGGAGGTCAAAGTGAACTGGGCAACAACCCCCAGCAGCCAGAAGAAAGATACCAGCAGTAAGTGTCACTTATGCTTTGAGAAACTGTTTTATTTGTACAACTAGTTTTTAAAGATAAACAATAAGCATCATGCAATTATATGCAGTAATGTTTTGATCATAATCCTAAGATATTATATAATGTGTTTGTGTTAATAAACTTAAGAACAAATCTAATCTTTGTCATCAGGTAGTACCGTTGTCAACACACTGCGTTCACAAGGTAATTGTATCTTCTTAAACATAAAATGAAATCTCTCGAGGGTATTCACTAACCACCTGAAGCTATATATGGGGTTTTTGTTCTTTTGGTTTGTTTTTATGGAGAGACTTCCCTTTCGTATCCCTGTTGCATCAGAATATGATCCGTTGTCCACTGTTTAATTCTGGTGCTGATCTCCAGCTATTTGTTTTGAGTGCAAATGTAATTTCTGCCCCCCTGCTATAAGGACATAATTATTAATGTCTTTCAAGGCCGATGTATGCACTACTTCATACAGGCTCCTTGGGAGAACCTGAATTTTCTCCACAGCTGGGTACCTTGTTCCCTTTTCATGGCAACCCTGTGTATTGCTGCTTCTGTCGGCAAACTTTGAAGTCCTTTAGAGAGGTGGGGTTAAATTACATTAGCATCAAAGTGGACTTTAATGTTTCTTACCTGCTGTAGTACAAATAAGCCTGTATATTGATAAGATGGTATGTGAAATGTTGTTTGATCATAGTGGAAAAGTCCTCAGGGTTTTATTTCTCTTCAGTGCGTGTTTTTTTTGTTTTCTTTTTTCTTTTTTTTTTTTAAATTGATCTGATATAAATTGAAGGGATTACTGTTTCCGTTCTGTTGCCTTCAGTCTTAGTTCACTTGCACACGGATTCACACACATTGAATTCACATGGATTCACATGGTGTAATGGCTGGGCAACCAAAACTGTTGGCTTTTGAGAACTCAAATTCTTTAACAGCAAACTGTTGCAATGCAAGGTATTTTTTTGATTTGTTCTTCACAAAATATGGTTTTTAACACGACATTGTAGCTAGGCTGAAAATACGTCCTGCTCTAGAGTGAGTTTTATTCTGCGTTTCTTGAAACTGCTAGACGTTTCAGTTGGTAAAAGTTTGCCTAGCTAGTGAACTGTACTGTATGCAAGTCTAACGCTAGCATACCGAGAGTGAGATTTTTCATGTAGTCTTGGCATATTAAGTAAATGTTTCACAACTTTATGGTAAATGTTGACTGGTCTTAAAAGCAGTTTATAAAATACAAAATGTAAATATCATATGTCACAGTACTACCCTTTAAATTACTGACTTTGTAGTGCTGCCAAGGAGTGGATCTGTTATGAACAGCAGTAAATTCTGTAGTCTGTAGTGAACTATAGTCTTCATGTAGTTGTAATAAATGGAAAACAATGCTGCGTGACATTGTTGTGCTGTTTATGTTTTCAAGGGTGGTCTTCAAACTTTTAAAATCTCTTTTTTTTCTCTCTTTTTCCCAATAAGACCATTTCCATGTCTTTGTTGGAGACCTCAGTCCTGAAATTACAACTGAAGATATAAAAGCAGCTTTTGCGCCATTTGGAAGAATATCGTAAGTAATTTGCATAGGGCAAATGAACTAAAAGTTCTCTCTTAAGTGGAGACAGCCTTATATTTCAGTAAGTAAAAAATTAAAGTTGTCACAGAGCAGGAATATATGTTCATCTATTCATGCAACGACTTGAGTCTGAATGGCTGGGTATTAAGCCAGGGACGCATGAACAGATTTCTTCTTTACTAAAAAAGTTGCCTTCAACTTACTTTGGTTTTATTCTCTTTGCATTGTTTGGAAAAGTAACACTGGAAAAAAATGACTTGTATACTTATACTTGAGTTTTGTATTTTACTTGCCCTCTCAGTGATCAGACAAACATCACCCGTTTTAGTTTGTGACTGAGTCTGCTTGCATGTCCACGTCTCGTCAGAGTTTGGATTTTTGTTAGCTGTGGTGTGCAGGCCACCGGTAGCTTTTTTTTTTTCTTTTTTTTTCTTTTTTTTTCTAGTTCAATTTAAACATGACATCCCCCCAAGTAAACCCTTTTAGCACTGGACTTGTTGCAGCACCTGAAGGCTGCAGCCAGAGTGGCCTCCAAGCACTGGCACTGCCTAAGCCCTTGACCTCAGGGGCTCAGCCTAAAATATGGGGCACCTTGGGCAAGAGAGTCGCACCCAGCAGTAGCATAGAGCAAGGGTGCAACAAGTGAACGTGTTACAAGTGGGAAACGGTGACTACAGGCGTCTGCCAGCGCGGTGTAGTCAGGATGTAGCAGAGTAAGGAGCGCTTCGTTCATTCCATCCTCCAAATGTAAACCATTAATTTTCCTTGTAGTGTTGTCTGTACTGGACATTGGAGTTTCTTGATGGTGATGTAAGAGAACATAGAGTGCTTTGGAGTGTTGTGTAGTGAAGCGTTTAATTGAAGTAAGTTTGTTTTTTGTTTTTTACCCTCAGAGTCCAGTATATTATTCTTTTAATGACAGCTTGATTTCCTCTTATGATAAAGTTAAATATATATATATAATATGATCTGAATGTGACTTGCTTCAGAGAACTATAATGCTCAACTACATCTTTTGTAATGAATACCTTGGAAATGTAGACTCACGAGGAGACTCATGGCCAAATGTGGTTTGGAAGGAAGGGACAAGGGACTCTAAAGGAGCTCCTGACTGGCACATGGCTGTGGGCTTGAGCGTGGAAGGGAACTAGTAATAGCTTAACATCTCGGCGTGAATGTGATACAGCTTTGAAAGAGAATTTCCCCTGAACTAGCCAGTTTTTGCTTTCTGATGTGGCTTTAAATAAACTGTCTCTTAGATAAACAATCCCACCCAACAAATCTCTGCCGAACCTGAAGCAAAAAGTAACCTCTGAATATTAGCTGGGCAAGTATAAAACAATACTAACGCTGGAGCACAGTCTGAATTTCCTGGGCCTCTGCCCGTTGCCCCACTTGTTCTAGAAGAGCTTTTTGGATGTAAAGCTGTTGCTGTGCAGTAACGGGTCCGATCACCCAGCTCTGCAAAACGTGATGTGTCTCTTCCCTCGTGGTGGTGGGGAGCATGAGTAACGCTCCTGCTCAGCACACAGCTGTAGGCTTAACTGATTGAAAACTTCAGCATTTTGCCTTAAATTTACCATCCAAAATGAAATGCTGTTGTCTTCATCCTATGAAAATAATAGATTCAAGAATTCTCCTGCTACATGTCTACAAGGTCTTGTTCCAAATCTGAGGGGTTAATGCAGCCAGGGACCTTGATTTTTTTTTTCTAGTTCAATTTAAACAGGTATGCATACTGCTACTGTTAAGAGGTAGAATGAAGTTCTTGAGTTTAACTGTTCTTCATCCATTGATTGATTGGTTTCTGGAAATGGAATGTTAATGGAATATTTCCTTATTACTATTTTTTTTAATATAGCCTTCTTTGGTATTAAACTGAGTTTTTTGTGTTTTGTGTGTGCTTTTTTAATGAACTCAAGGTTGAACTACTGCATGATTAGCACATAAGAAATTTTGGTAATTCTTTGCATCTGATTTTTTTAATCCCTGTGAAAGCACCCTCTCACTGTGATTTCCTTTTATGCTTGCTGTACGCATGTTTTCACTTGTTCTCGAGTCTTATTTTCAAAGTTTTCAGTTGAGGGTAAGTATAGATGAGTTTCTCCCCCTTCCTTCTTTAGGCTGTTCAGAACAAAGTGATCTTCTAAGAGTACCAAAGTGGCGCTTCTCAGGCAATTTGTAACACCTTACTCAGGCAGGAGGAAAAAGTGTAGCATTTCTTTACACCCAGTAACAAAATGATGACTACTTTATTTTTTTTTTCTTTAACTTGGGCATTTGAGTGGTGGTGCAAGTGCTATGGGCCTATGTGTACAGGAATTAGGCTTGTAGTGTAGTACTAGTGGTTACTGTAAGGCTTTAAAAATCAGTGTATAAAAACCTGCTCTTCATTGTGACCTTTTCTTGCCAGTCTTGGAATGCTAAATGTTGTGCACATGTTATGCTAGTTTCTCTGAACGGTGTTATTTTATACGGACGTAAGTTATGTTGCATGACTTGATACGGACGTAAGCTATGTTGCAGTATGAACTGACTGGTTTTATTTTCTTTTATTTTATTGAAATGCTTGTATGTGTGGGGCAAAGCAGGGGAGGAGAGGGTGGCCTGTATGGGAGAGCATCTCGATCCTTGGCTAACTTGTGTGCAAATTGCCTGAGAAACTCTGTTGATTGACTTTCCGCAAGTGGGGTTTAGCTATTGTAGCTGGATTCTCTTTTTAACTCAATCTCAAATAATAGGGCTCTGGTTATTTTGCAGAGTGTCTCTGAAGAATGGACAGAATTGCCATGGCTAACTACAAGCTACAGTTCACAGTGGACAAACGTTGTAGTTTTCTTATTTACTTTTTTTTTTTTTTCCTTTTTTTTATATCTCGTAGTTTCCAATCAGTCCTGTTTGATTGCTGTTTTACAATTGCAGTTTAAATTTTGTAATATATAGTTTAAAACATAAATGTTTCGGTGTTTTATTTTCTTCAATAATTTCTGAAAATGTCAATTTCTCAAAATTTACAGCTGCCCACAGTCCAAAAAGGGGGTAACGAATTGACCTGAGAAAATTAAAGAATTCAGTTAACAGGCGACGTATGCCTTTTAATTCCTATCTTTTTTCATTTTTTCTATTTAATATTTTTAATGAGTAGGTAGAATGTGTTGGCAAATAGTTTAAAAATTGCATGGTTAAAGAAAGCCATTCAGCTAATGTTAGTCAGCTACGCGGCCTAAGTGATGCTTTTGAATAGCTGCTTTGACCATGCTTAGTGTCTTAATAATATGTAAAAGCATTTTGAACTGGGAGCCAACTGTTGTAAAGTGCATAAGTTTTAGAGAAGTGCTATTGATTTGCATGTTTACAAAATTAAGTTTAATTTTGCTATTACCTGACAAAACACTAGTAAAGTTCTGTTTAGAAAAGAAGATATTTGCTTTGATGTTGCTGCTACAATAAACAGTTTGCTTTAGTAAAGGTGAAACATGAAAAATAAGCTGTACGTGTCACTCAAATTTTCATTTTATTTATTGAAGTCTTTTTAAGTTGCTAAATTGGCTGCTGTTTCTCCTTTTTAGAGATGCACGAGTGGTTAAGGATATGGCAACGGGCAAATCTAAGGGATACGGCTTTGTTTCCTTCTTCAATAAATGGGTAAGCTGCAGCACTGCCTGGGTTTGCCATGAAAAGTGGCTGCAGATTTTGAATAGCTGCCACGTGGCGTGAGCGTTTTCGGTCTCTAACTATACCAGCTTCAGGAAGAGTTGCTGACAGTGGCACTTTTGGTTTTTTTCCCCCTTTCCCTCTCTTGTGGACAGGATGCAGAAAATGCTATTCAGCAGATGGGTGGTCAGTGGCTTGGTGGAAGACAAATCAGAACAAATTGGGCGACAAGAAAGCCTCCAGCTCCAAAGAGTACTTATGAAAGTAAGTTTTTTCAGTTCTGTGTCTTTCCAAACCTCCTGTTAAAGGCATGGGGAGCAGGAGAAATTTTCTAGCTCGAATCTTCAGAGATCTGGAGGAAGGGAAGGTGGGTACTGGACAGTGAAGAGTCTTGGGTAGTTTCAGAACTCTTGAAAATTGTTAGGTGTAAGGGGTGTGTTACTACCACTAACATTTGTTTTTGTTTGTTCTTTTTCCAAACACTTAGTTTGGTGACCTGTTTTTTTTCTTCCCTACCCCCAAAGTAAGCCCTTTTTTTTTTTTTTTCTTTTTTTTCTTTCCTAATCATAGAAAAATATTAGCACATTCTTACCACTTGGGATAGAAAACAAGCAGAATGGTGTGTAAAGAAAGCATTTCCATTAGAGCAATTTTAATTCAGGTATATCCCAATATAACTGAGCTGCTTGATAAGTCTAAAACATGACCTTAAATAACAGTAGTGCCCCTGCACAAGCCACCTGTCCTATAATGGGAGTTTGTGGCCACCCCTGGAGACCGTGTGTCACGGGCCTATCCTCCTTTTTGCCGTGCTGTTTGTTTTTGTGGTGATTGCAGTTTGTGCTCATGTGTTATGTGTATGAAGAGCAAAAGCTAGTGTTTAACAGGAGCTGGCAGCTCTGCTTCTAACACGGTGGCAGTCTCGAAACAGTGTCTGTTTCTGATGTTAATTCACCACTGCCTGTGGACATGGAGGTGACCACGTCCAGCATAGACAGGACAAAATATTTTCCACAGTTAATGTTTGTCACAGACTCTGGCAGCCTGACTCGTTATTGTAGGCCTGTTGGATGGGATTTCGATTTCTGTGTAAAGTGTTTCTGCTCACCTTAAAAGCTGCTAAAATTTCCTTTCAGCAAATACCAAACAACTGTCTTATGATGATGTGGTCAATCAGTCCAGTCCAAGCAACTGCACCGTGTACTGTGGAGGTGTTACCTCGGGACTGACAGGTACGGTGTCTTCAAAACATTGACACTTTTGAATGTCTCGGGAAAATACTGCAATCAACTAATTTTGGCAACTTACCCCTTCTTGCTTCAGAACAGCTAATGCGCCAGACCTTTTCTCCGTTTGGGCAGATAATGGAAATCCGAGTCTTCCCAGATAAAGGATACTCCTTTGTACGGTAGGTAGTTGTGTGATGAGATACAGAGGATAGCATGTAGATGTGCTCTCTTGGGGTTGCTTATAGCCTTGCTGCTTGAATTATTGTTATTTTTAATATTGGCATGACTTGTATTTCAACAGGTTTAATTCCCATGAGAGTGCTGCACATGCAATTGTTTCCGTCAATGGCACAACTATAGAAGGCCACGTAGTGAAGTGCTACTGGGGCAAGGAAACACCAGACATGATCAGTCCAGTCCAGCAGGTCAAAATTTATTCCTATGCTTACCTCCAAGACAATGGGTTAAAGTTACTGTCTTTCTGTAAAACCTGTTCATTGGCTGGAAAGGTGGTGCTAGACAGAAGCTTGATGTGGCAAACACAACATCTAGGTCAACTCTTCCTTCAGCAATGAGTATTTCTCTAAAGAATAATCCAAAACTTGCTAAATTAACATCAGTGTCCGATTAAATGAGTTTCCATTTTGGTGTTATTTTGGCAAACCATCCTGTGGGTTGTTCATTGGAGATGGACTCTGCGGGCTGGGTGCATGCTGAATTGATGCAAATATCTGCTCTCTTAGGCACTGCCTGACACCTGCCTGTTTGTCCTTGCAGAACCAAATCGGATATCCCCAAGCTTACGGGCAGTGGGGTCAGTGGTATGGAAACGCGCAGATCGGGCAGTACATGCCCAATGGCTGGCAAGTCCCTGCATATGGAATGTATGGGCAAGCGTGGAATCAGCAAGGATTTAAGTGAGTATTTGCTTTCGTGCCATGAATGAAATTTCAGGGGATGAGGCTTTCAAAGTCCACAGCCTCATAAAAGTTATCATAAAGTTCTGTTCCTTTGTCGTTCATGGAGGTGGAGTAATGATGCCTGCAGTTAATGTGTTCAGGGACATAGAGAAGGATATTGCTGTCTTCAAAGACCTGTCCTCAGAGAGCAGTGTTTAGTCTTTCGTTTTCCAGTCATGTTACTGCATCTTTAGAAGTTTTCTTGAACTTTTAAGAGCTGCATTTTGTTCTGGTCAAATTCAGAATTTGGTAAAATTGTGCATATGTGTGATATAACAGTATCAGTCAGATGTTGTTATAATGTCAGTAGATCCAACAGTTGCCCCATTCCTGAGCAGTGGATATTAAATGCATCCAAGTGCAAGCAGAGAATATAGATTTCTGCAGTAATGTGTTGGTTTCTAAGCTAGAGTGAAACAGCTTTGCTGGGAGGCCTGCTGGCAGCAAAGCCCATTGATCTGCCTTTTCTGGTGCACCGTGGCCAACACAGAGATTATTTCCTCCAACCAACATCATTGTTTGTCTCGTTGCTTAGAAAAACATCCTGCCCTTAAAAATTGGTTGTGGTCTGCAGTCTTGATTTCTGATCTTAAATATTTCCCTCCACCCCACTTCCCCGAAACAGTCAGACACAGTCTTCAGCAGCATGGATGGGAGCAAACTACAGCGTTCCGCCGCCTCAAGGGCAGAACGGGAGCATGATAACTAATCAAACTGGATATCGCATGGCGGGCTTCGAAACGCAGTGAGAAAAGGACTCTGAAACCAAACACTGGTGGGCTCGAGGCTGCGAGGAGAGTTGTGAAGCCTCTGTTTACTGAACAGATTTACCCGATCAAGTCAGTACGAGTGTCAGATACAATGTATTTATTTAAGAAAAAAAAACGGGAAAAAAAAGCATTTTTAATCATGAAACTGTCATCCACATTGTTTAAAAAAAGAAAAAACACACACACACACAAAAAACCTAGATGCTGGATGTCTGCCAACTTTTGCCTTCTTTTCCTCCTTTTGATATGTGTTTCTTAAGATCCACGTTTGAAACACAGCAAATGCAGGGACTACTGCCACTTAAGATTGGGGCAGAAAATTGCACAATGTCAAACCTTTTTTTCCTCTGAAGTAGTGGGCAGTTTTAGTTTGCATTCCCAATGATTTAAAATGTATTATAAGCAGCTGTACAAAAAAAAAAAGAAAAAAAAAAAGAAAAAAAGCCAACACCGTGTGAATTCTGAAGATGCTTTGTCTTCGGCCTTTGCACAAGCCTATTGTATAAAGTGTCCATCCCTCTGCTTTTGTTATACTGGGTTTTCAACTATAAATTATTAGTTTACATCATTTTGTATCGGAACATTTTTTCAGAGTGGTCTTTGCCTTATGCCAGTTACCTAAACTGTCGTGAACTGAGGAAGCGCAGTCCGCAGCGCTGAATTGTCTGCAAAAACGCTCAGATGGATCTAATTTTATTCACATTGTGTTTTATGTGAGAAGGTGCCTAGAGAAATCCCTGTTGGACTCTTTCTAAAGGATTTTTATCTTTGGTGAAAAACTTTGTGATGTGTACTGAGAAATACAGAAAAAAAATCCTGTAATGACTCTTACTAAAATGTGACAAATACCTACAAACCAGCTTGTTTTTTATCTTATCAATTTCTACATTTACGTGTACCGATTATGTAAAATATTTTAGCAAATTACTATTTTGCACAAACGTTAGCCAACTTTGTATGTTTCCTTATTTAAAGGTAGGATGCAGCGTCCTTGGACATGAATTATGCATAAGAGTTGAAGAAAACAATTTTTTTGGCTTTTTTTGTTTTGTTTTTATTATTTTTTTGTTTTTGTTTTTTTTGCATGTGGGTATCAAATATACACTTTGTTAGTTTTGGAATACCAACTTGGCCTCTCTTGTTTTTAACCTAAGTGTAACAGAACCCCCCACACGGCAGCGGTGGCTGCGGGAAGCCTCGTCTTGCTGTGATGGGCGGCAGAGGGCAGGCGCGGAGCAGGAGCTGCAGCCACCGGAGCGCTGTGTGGGTAGGGCTGGGCCGGGCCAAGTCTTTTGCCGTGTTCGGAGGCCAAAAAAAGAACAAAAAGTAGAAATCACCTTTATTTCTTACCTCTTGTCCAGCCTTCAAAAAGTGAGAAAAAAAAAAATATATATCCTCCAAACCC